CCTCCTCCTCCTCCTCCTCCTCCTCCTCCTCCTCCTCCTCCTCCTCCAGAGATTACGAACTAACTGAACAGCTACACTGATACCCCAGCTGCTCTCTTTCCCATGGTAAGACTTGATGTGTGGGGAAAGGAGTTGGCAGCTGGTACTCAGTGGTCCTGTGGGCGAGGTGAGTCATCCCGGTCCCAGTTAAGACATACCAGTCACAAACCCAGAATCCAAGTCGAGAGGGGTTGCTTTCTGTGCTGGGAAGAGTGGCAGGCATGGGTGTGCATGGTTCAGCACAGCAGGCAACCTTCACTCTGGGCTGATGAGCCATGTGCTGAAGACCAGAGATGGTTGTCGGGAAGGTGGGGCAACAGGGGTGATACTGGCGGTGGATGACTCATATGCACGTGACATCGTGGCATAGGCCTGGCCTGCAAGAGGGTGGGGTGAAGGAAAAGGATCCTCTGAATTGGTATCATCTCCTGCCTCTTGCCTCCATGCATCAAGGAGGTTGAGAGGCTGCCAGCGATACCCTCAAGGGAAGATGTTGCAAGGGGGAGGCTTGTCCCCCCCAGAAGCTTCTCTTCCTCCTCGACAGAAGTGCTCACATGCAAATCACTCACCGGCCCTCTGGCCCCCGACAAGCCTCTTCCTTCCCGCTGAGCATGTGAGAGGTTCTGGCGAGGAGGAAGAGAAGCTCCTGAGGGCAGGGGCATGGGAGATTGCGGCATTGGAGCTCTTCCCGGGTGTTTCCTAGCCTGCGAGGGGAGGGCGCGATCTCCTGTGCCCCCCGAAGCTTCTCTTCCTCCTCAACAGAAGCACTCATGCGCAAAGCACTCACTACCCTTCTGGCCCCAGACAAGCCACCTCCTTCCCGCTGAGTGTGTGAGCGCTTCTGGTGAGGAGGAAGAGGGGGTCGAGCCTCCCCCTCACAACATCTTCACCTGAGGGCAGCTGCTTCCTGTGGCTCAGGAGGTCTGCGCTCTTCCCACTGCTGCTCGGCCTCCTTGGTGCGCTGAGGCAGGAGGCAGCAGCCACGACACGGGAGACTGCAGGATTGCCCCACCTCCCCGCCTCAGCATGCTGTGGCCCACCAAAATTTTCTCATGGCCCACCATGGTCTAGATGCAATGTTAACAATAAAAGAGAATATTTGTACTCAGGATTGAGCTGAGGGATCCTTTCATTGGTTGTTTCATTGCAGATGTTTCATTACCCATCTAGGTAAGATCATCACTGATTATCATCATCACTGATGATGTTACCTAATTGGTAATGAAACAACTGCAAGAAACAACAAGCTCAGAGAGCATAAAAGAACCCTCATGTAATGTTAAGTTTAGAGACTGAAAGACTTTGTTGCTGCTTTATAGATATTAGTAGTTTTTTAAAGCTTATTTTAATCTCTGGGATGTGCATTTTACTGTAGGATCACTAGTGTAATTGTTGCAATTGTTAAATTTCACCAATAAAATAAAATACAACAAAATGTATTAATATTATGTTCTGTGTAACACCTATCATAGTTCCTTTCATCAAGCATATGTTGGTATGAAATACTGTACATAAGCAGAACCTTTGGAAGAGTGTAAATGAGGGAAAGTAGCAAAAGATGCCCATATTAGTTAAAATTAAGTTAAACCATGCATTAAAACAATGTGTGCTAAGGTAAGAAGGACCAATAGAAAAAAAGAAAAATGGTAGAAAGCATAGGGTTGAAAAATGACCGGAGGCCTTGACAAGAGGTGAGTTTGGAGTGCATCAGTCACAATGCTGCTATGAGATCTAATTATTCAGAAACAAGAGACTATTGAACGTGAAGTCACGAGGAAAGAGCCGGAGGAGGAATTCATTTCTAGATCTGTTTATGGGCTTTTGGGGGCACCTGGTTAACTTCTATAAAAAAGTAAAAAGCAGGAAGCTGTGAAGTTTTGCTGTCTAATGGAATTCAGTGAAAGAAAATGCTATTTCTTAGTGAAGCACTGCTCTCTCTCTTCTCTCTCATGTTTATATAATACTGCGTTTATGGAGTTATTATAAGATTGCAATAATAAGATTGAAGTGCTGTGCATACTCATAAAAATGTTATAACTATGATAAGGATAAGGATGACATTATCATTTCTTTTTGTAATGTTGGGAAAATTACTTGTTTTGCTTGAGTGAGCCAGCCTGTCATGTAGATTCAACCTTGAATCTCCTATGGTGGGACACCTCAGCAAATTTTTGTATGGATTAAAAATTTCGGTCCACTGTAGTTGTCAGGAATCCTTTATCCTGCTGATTTGCATGAATGTGGAACCAGCACAGTGGGGAATAGAGCAAAGAATTGCTGTTAGGCTTCACCTGTTTATTTCAAGCTGAGAGAAGTAAACCTCAATGTCTGGTATGTATAGTTAGTCTCCTCTTGCCTCTGTGGTAAATGCTTTATGCTGTAAAGCTGATTGATGGCAGCCAGCTCTGAGTTGCCAGTTGTCTACTGCATCGGCAGCTTCTGAGTGTCTGATGTGTGGGTGGCTGAGGACTAAATTCTCTACTTCCTATCTTGAAACACAGCAGGAGTCACCCTCATTCTAGCATAGATTGACACAGACTATGCATTCCCCAAAATAGTTTGCTGCCCTGAAACCAGTTGTCCATGATTTATTTATTTACAGAGGGCATGCGGCATCTTAATAGTGATACACACATGTACACCTCTATGCATATATAATACGTTTAGATATTTAATTACTCGGACTAATGGAAAATGGGCAGGTGGTGGGGGTAATGGCATTAATGTAGCATATGTAGTTCTTTCTGCTTGAAAATACTTTGTCTTAGTCTACCGTTTAAAGAAAATTTCTTAACACTTTTACAAATGCAATTTGATTGCTCAGCATGAAATGCCAGTACTTGTAGCTAACAAATGTTTCCAGTTACGTTGATTGATGCATCAAATGCAGGTACCCCAATGCTTCTTGTTTGTCATATTGGAAAAGTTAAGATTCTTAACTTTTGAAATTGGCTTGAACTGAGGCAGTGTTGAGATGCCAATCCCAGAACCTTTGGCAACAAGGAAATATTCTGGGGGAATCAGCTCTAGCCCTGTTTTAGCTGCAGAGGAGTAGTATGAGGAAGACGTTATCTTTTATAACTCATTCGTCTGGTGTTCTCTGAAGATTGTGTGCATCTGCTGCTTATGGATTAAAACTAATTTAGAATTCAGTGTCTTTAACTCAGGAACTAGAGTTCTCATATAGGGTTACCAATGAAAGCATAAAAGAGAAGGGGCAAAACAAAAATTGAAAGACATTAAAAGGGTGATTTTCTTTGGGCTTGAGGGGGAAAAGTTGTTAGAAACTACAGAGTCCTGCCTGTTTAGCCATGTGGAGCATTTTAATTAAAATTCAAAGACATCTCTTTCCCTGAAGCATACCAAGGATATAGGTGGAATGTTGTAGTGGCTCAGGAACTCCATTCTGCAGTGTCATGCTGGCACTTGCTAGGGAGATAAATCATTGAGATTACCAAGACCTTGAAAGGTGCATGTGTATCTGCTTTTACTGTATTGCCCTCTGCTTAATTAAATGCTTTCTATAATGAAATAATGTTATCACAAATGCAGGGAGAAGAAGTTAAAGAAGCCCATTTAAACTTACTAATGGAGGCAGAATACCTGGATAGAACAGTGCTACAGGGAGCAGCCGAGTGGTTGCCTTTGATGAAATAGATGGAATATTTGCAGCTGCTTATTTGAAATTGCTTGGAGTTGCTTAATCGAGAGCATAGATGAGTGTGATGAACTGTTAGGCTCAAAAGAAATTGAAGCAGGACTCCAGGTCCATTAAAACCACAGTACATGAGATAGGAAGAGCACGGAACTGATTAGGGTAGGATATTAAAAGATGAGCCCTACAGAAATTTTTTTAAAAGGATCTAATTCAGACATATAAATTGCCCAGGTATAAAGTTACATCAGTGTCACACAGATATTGAGAACTGAATCACAAAATTCCCAGCTTGAATTTTGACTCTGCCACGAACTTGCTGATTTTTACAAAACCACTACATAATAAGTCACAGAACAGGAACGAGTCTCAATGTTACTCTTTCTTATTCTTACCTACTAGGTAAAAACTTAACCAGTAAGTTACTCTTACTGTTGACTCCTACTTGCGTAGTGAAAAAAGCAGTTTTGACTGTCATATTTTAAGAAGAATGTTATGAGCTAGGATATGTCTAGAGGATGGTGATTTGTATGTTGAAAGATTGTAAGCATTGCATATGCTTATTCTGAGAAGACTTGATTCAGAGTATTCCTCTTTGCATATTTGAAGAACTGTTACAGAGACGAAGGAGCAGTTGTTTATAGAATCCAGATCAACTAGTTCAAATTACAAGACATTTTGTAACTTTAGGAATATTCTCTTAGCTTTTAGATAACCACTATGTTTTGATAGTGAAATGGATTGTCTTTCCTTCTTTTTTTTTAAAAAAATAAAGGTCTGGTTAGCTAATACAGTTCTAAAGGATTTCTTGCATAATCATCATACTGGATGAAATACGTATTGAGATTCTTTCCTATTCTGTGACTTACCATGCAGTGGTTTTGTAAAGATCAAGTGCAAAAGCACATGAAGCTCACTGCACACTTGCAAGCATTTATACGAACACTGAATATTAAGAAGCTGTTCAGCATGGTAAGTATTTGTTAGATTATTGTGTTACATAGTTAATAACCCTTGCACAATTGCAGATGAAATTAAGATCCTATCATAAAGATAGTGATTTAACTTTGAGGAGTAATAACATCTACCGATGGGTATCTTTGTTTAAAGGACTAATTTTGAGAGAGAAAGATTGAAATTTAATTTAGCAAGCAAACCAAAACAGGAGAATAAGGCTTGTTCTCATAATTCAGCTTTTATTGCGGTTAAAACATAAATTTTAATAACCTTCTAGAAGCAAACCTTTGTACTATCATTAAGGCTTCCTCTGAGAAGATACACCTGTGTTTGTAAAATGTTTCCTTTTATTCCTTTCTCATTAAGATTAATTTTAATGTTGGTAAAATAATACATAAAGCCCATCTTTATTTTTTTTTCCCCAGTAAGATTCTTTGAAACATGCCATCTTGACCTAGGCGTTAGTTTTCTTATAAACATGGATGTGGGTTCAAGAGCAAAATATAATATACAAAAATAAGTTGAATTACCAAATAAATATTTCTGTGATTATTTGAATGTGAACTTTCAGTGTGCATTGTGAAGCATGTTTTCAATTGATAATATGTATGGTCTCTTTTATTAATTGTGTAATATAGAAATAGCGTTAAGGACTTTCTCGTTTAGTTGTGCAACTTTTATTCCATTTCAATTGTAACTGACAAAGCAGTTATGAAAGGTGGACTAGAATTTAAATAAAACTAAAATGAACCAGCAGATGAAAATAAGATTGGTCTTTGCATGTAATTAATCATCAGTATAGCAACATGAGAACATTATTAGTTGTAGCTAAAGATTACCACAGTCTGATAGACATTGTTTTTTTGTTTTTTTGTTTTGCTTTTTTCCACAGCTGTTCTCGGAAGGAGCGTTGTGATCGAGCTGATGAACACCAACGTTTTGCCTCAGATCTGCACCAGTGTGTTCAACTTACCGTTCAGCCTAAGAATATATCAGTCACCATGTCGGAAGTCCCGGTGGGTCATTTTATTTCAAATTCCGTATAACTATATAAATACTATGTCAGTATATTTCTTTAAGATGGTGAAGTATGCAGGTTTTGTTATAGATTAGAATTCTTTATTGGCCAAGTGTGATTGGACACACAAGGAATTTGTCTTGGTGCAAATGCTCTCAATATACATAAAAGAAAAGATACATTCGTCAAGAGTCAAGAGTCAAGAATCATAAGGTAAAACACTTAATGATAGTCCTAGGGTACAATAAGCAATCAAATCATAATAGAAAACAGTCAATATAGATCATAAGGATACAAGCGACAAAGTTACAGTCATACAGTCACAAGTGGGAGGACATGGGCGATAAGGAGTGATGAGAAGATTAATAGTAATAGTAGTGCAGACTTTGTAAATAGTTGGACAGTGTTGAGGGGATTATTTGTTTAGCAGAATGATGGCGTTCGGGGGAAAAACTGTTCTTGTGTCTTGTTGTTCTGGTGTGCAGTGCTCTATGGCGTTGTTTTGAGGGAAGGAGTTGAAACAGTTTATGTTCGGGATGTGAGGGGTCTGCAAATATTTTCACAGCCCTCTTTTTTGACTTCTGCAGTATACAGGTCCTCAATGGAAGGGAAGTTGGTAGTAATTGTTTTTTTTCCTGCAGTTCTAATTATCCTCTGAATCTGTGTCTGTCCTGTTGGGTTGCAGAACCAAACCAGACAGTTATAGAAGTGCAGATAAAATCCCCCCTTTTAAAACAACAACAACCACAGATCATTGAATAGATTTTTTCTTCTTCTGTCAGCTGGTTTTGCAAGCTTGGAATGTTCCTGATCTCCTGGCTGGTGTGAATTGTTCCTTTGAAGATTTCACTGAATCTGAAAGCCGCATTGAAGATGGCAGAATCTACTGTAGTTCTCCATCTACAAAAGATGTGATACCTATTACCAGAGGACAAGGTGAGTTAATATCGTCTCATCATCCTGCAACAGTTAAATATAGAATAAACTGAGTGTACTTAGGGAACTGATTTTTTCAACAAATATTTAAGTAATACAAAAACTGAACCAGTTTATTTTTATGAGTCTATACTTCTTGTAATATTTTTATTCCATTACAAAACCCTTCTTCCCAGGGTCAGAATTGTTCAATTTTGGCAATGTGAAGATGTGTATACTTCAACACCTAGTTGAATTCCCCAGGGCTGCCAAGGTTGGAAAAGATTGCTCTCTGTAATAATAAGCACTGTCTAAAAATACGTTGTTGTTTCTGTCCCTAGATGGAAGGCAGATAATTTAGTTCTTCTGTTCAGATGGTATAATCTATTCTGACCTCAGATACTCGGGTTGTTTTTGCAATAGAGAAATCTAAATTCCTTAAAATATACCATATTGGCCTGAGGGAGAGGTAATGTGTAAACAAAGAAAGAAGGGCAATAATTGAGATGCATATTAATGGAGGGTCTGAAAAAGTCATTGGATATACTAACTTGGATAGAGTAGCTTGAGACCAATCCAGCGATTTGCTGAAGCTAATTTTTCATTGAGGTATATTTGCTACAAATCTTTTGGTTCCCCATTTTTTAAAAAATTCAATCAGACACTTTTGCCAATTACATCTTCAGAAAGTTTCCAGATTAGATCTAGAGAGGTATTTAAGGTGGAGAATGCCAAATATAAATTCTGCAGTAGGCAGTTAAAGATCTATTATCAGAGTCTTTCACCAGCTTTTTTTTTTTTTTAGTTTTGCACTAAGCAAGATTACTTTCTCTCTAAACCATTAAAGTTATCTAGAAAGAAGAAAAGTGGTTTGGATGGATCTTGTTCCTCCATGATTAATGTTTTCTCATGTCTTTGTATTCACTGAGACTATTTCTCAGTTCAGTCAGAACTATTTATTCCAATCCAGTCAAATTAAAAGTCTTTATTTTCACAGATATCCATGTCGATCACCAGTTTGTTGATCTCTGTGCTTGCTTTGTTTTCTTTCTAGGTGATAAGCGAGTGGTAAAGCTTTATCTTAAATCCAAAGAGACAGGGAAGAAGTTTGCATCTGTGGATTTTGTATTTTACAACTGTAGTGTTCATCAATCGTAAGTAACCTAAAATACTTGTTATTCTGAATGTTTTTGGACTCGCTCTGAAATAAGGCTATGAATAGTGTATAGTAAAAGCAATCAAACGAGGGAAAAGTCAGACACTGTTTTCAGGATTGACATATTTATTTTAAGGAAAATTATACCATTGCTTGGCTGATAAAATATGATTTGGCCCAAAAACTAGGCAACCAAAGCTGCATGTATGTACTTTTATAACAAATGATTTAATTAAAACCACATGTTGATTCTATAGAGATAGTTATATACATTTCCTTAGGATGTTTGGTATTTATATTCTTTGAGTGATCTTGTAAAATTTAGTTCGCAAAACTCGTTTATCAGTATTACATAGACTTAGAACATAAATTGAAAAGATTAGTTAATGGGGAAAGATGCCTTAATTCTTGGAAGAACAGCGCTTCCCGTGGGGATGCAGATACATGATTGGCAGTATTATTTAAAGTTGGTACATCTATGAGAGCTCTTAATTCCTGCATAGAGTTTAGAGATCGCATAGCAAAGAATCGTGGTGGTGTAGTGGTTAGAATAAAGTATTGCAGGCTAATTCTGCTGACTGCCAGAAATTCGATTCAAGATTGACTCTGCATTCCATCTTTCTGAGATTGGTAAAATGATGACCCAAATTGTTGGGGGCAATGTAACTGCTGACTTTGTAAACCACTTAGAGAGGGCTCTAAAGCACTATGAAGTGGTATATCCAGGGCACTCAGAAAGTATTCAACCCCCCTTCACTTTTGTCAGTTTTGTTATGCTGCAGCCTGATTCTACAGGTGTTGAAGTTTTTCCCTCCTCATTAATCTACACTCAGTACCCTATAATGACAAAGTGAAAACAGAATTTTAGAAATGTCTATAAATTTATTAAAAAGAAAAAACTGAAAGATCACATTGGCATAAGTAGTCAGACCACACATTTGCAACAACATGTGAAATTTAGGTCTGGTGCCTCCCATTTCTCTTGATTGTTGCTGGCATGTTTCTTCTCCTTGATTGGAGTTGACCCGTGGTAAATTAAATGGACATGATTTGGAGAGTCACACACTTCTCTATAGAAGGCCTCACAGCTGACAACGCTTGTAGCAAAACAAAGTCATTAGGTTGAAGGAACTGCCTGCAGAGCTCAAAGACAGGATTATTGCAAAGCATGGATATGGGGAAGGCTACAATAAAATTTCTGCTGCACTGAAGGTTCCTAAGAGCATAGTGGCCTCCATAATTCTCAAATGGAGGATGTTTGGCACAACCAAGACTCTTCCAAGAGCTGGTTGCCTGGTCAAACTGAGCAATTGGGGGAGAAGGGCCTTAGTAAGAAAGGTGATCAAGAACCCAATAGTCACTCTGACTGAGTTCCGGGATCCTGTGAAGATATGGGACAGAGTTCCAGAAGGACAACCATCACTGCAGTTCTCCATCCATCTGGGCTTTATGGTAGAGTGTCTAGATGGAAGCCTCTTCTCTGTGCAAAACACATGAAAGTCCATTTGGAGTTTGCAAAAATGTACCTGAAGGACTCTCAAACTGTGAGGAACAAGATTATCAGGTCTGATGAAACCAAGATTGAACTGTTCGGCCTCAATTCTAAACATTGCATCTGAAGAAAACTGGGCACCATTCATCTCCTGCCCAATACCATTCCCAATCGTAAAGCATGGTGGTGGCAGCATAATGCTGTGGGTGTGTTTTTCAACAGCAGGGACTGGGAGACTCATCAGGATTGAGGAAAAGCTGAATGGAACCAAGTACAGGAATATCCTCAATGAAAACCTGTTCCAGAGCTCTTAGGACCTCAGACTGAGCCAAAGGTTTATTTTCTAACATGGAAAATGTATTCATTTTCCAACTACTAGCTACCGTGTTTCTCATATAATAAGGCCGGGTCTTTTTTTTTTTTTTTTTGAGCCCCGAAAAAATGGCTAGGCTGTCTTTTTGGGGGTGACTTAATCCCCCCCCCCTTGCATCTTCGGGCGGGCGGGCAGCCATGGCTTGGATGTTGACCTCGTCATTGGTGGGGCACTTCATATTGGGGTCAACACAGGCAGCACCATATCCGGGTGTGCAACCAAAGTACTTCCTAATGGCAAGCCCCCCCCCATTCCCCCCCATTTCGCATGTTTTAATATAGGCCTTAATTTGGGGGGAGGGGCTTAATTTCATTTCATGCCTATAAAACATGCTGGGACTTCCTATTGGGGGAGGCCATATTGCTGGAGAAACAGGGTAGTTATCACAAAAAACACTTAATAGGGCCAGTCTGAATCTTTTTCTTAGGAAATATTTATTTGTTGGAGAGGCTGGTTGGCGGGCTGAAATGATGAAATGGAAAATTATGAATATTGAGAGGTGTTTGCGTAAGCATCATTGAAATAAATGAATTTTACATGGGGCCTTTCCTATCTGCTTTCAATATCTTGCTTACATGTTGGGATGGCTGTATTTGTGGTTGCATAATAGAGCTATGCTTCTATAATATTTGACAAATTATTTTCATAGGCAAAGTAACTATTTTAAATCCTATGGAGATTCTCAATCATTCAGGTCATGGTTGTCCCTATGGTGCTTTTTCAAGAGGCAACTGGACTTTCTAGTTTTTCTTTGAAGACGTTTCACTTATCATCCAAGAAGCTTCTTCAGCTTGTCAGTTCTTCAGTTGAACCCTAGCCCTAACCTCAATCCTAACCTCAACCCTAAACTCTTGAAAAAGCATCTTTGAGATATTTTAAGTTCTGTTGCCAAATGCTGTGACAATAATTTTAGGGAAGATTTCTTTTTAATATTTAGGAAAGTGAAGGATATATTGAGATGCTAGAAGCCTAAGAGGTGCTTAACATACCTGCAGTATAATCTATTACTTGATACTAGATCTGCTGGGCAGGAAAGGGGGAACGTGCCCACACTTGTTTCCTGTGAAAATTCCTGCATCCAAGAGAACTCTCTAGTCTAGGGTATAAAAGTTGGATAGCAAAATAGAATAGTCAAAACTCTGATCTGGGCAGCGGAGTGTAAAATATGCACGTAGGAAAGTCCATTGTAGCTTTTCCGGACAGAGAAGTGATGCCAAGGCTACAACTGGGAAATCAGTACACCGACAGTTCCTTTGGAACTGTGTTTCTCAACCTTGGCTGCTTTAAGATGTGTGGATGTCAACTCCCAGAATTCCCATGTTGGCTGTGGAATTCTGAGAGCTGAAGTCCACACATCTTAAAAGCTTCCAAGGTTGAGAAACGAAGCTTTAGAGAACATATTTTGGCTTCTGAATAGTAAAGTAAAGGGGTGGATTGTATAGGCAGGGAAGGAGACAGATTTTTGAGCAGGACTTTCTTTTTTATCTTGATCCTTTTTGGAGAAAATGATGTTTTTTTTTTTCAGATTTGGTTTCTCTTTGTTTGATATTTTAGTCTAAAGATATTTCATTGAGGTGTACATTTTTACATGTGTATGAACACAAACAAAAGTGGCTTTATAAAAGAGACAATAAAAAGTATGTTTTGTTCAAGAAAGGCACAATAAGGATGCTGTTTTTAAACATTAATATATGCAAAAAGTAAAAAAGAGCCAAAAAACCTCTGCAATAAACAGCCACTGTTGCTGATTTATGATAAGATTGAATTTCAATTTTAGATGAATTATTTTAAAAAGCAAATTATGGTTTGTATTAATATTTATAAAATCACTTTAGAAATATTGATAGCACGAGTTGTTTACAATGAGTTCCTTTGCTGTCATCTGACTTTGAGGTTCATCATAAAGAAAGAAGTCCAATCAAATAAGTTCACTGAAAAACAAATACATAAATAAATGTTTGTCATTGTATATTAACTTGCAATCAGTTAGTATGCCAATTAAATCTCTGTTCAACCTTACATAATTTAGCTTGCTTCTTGCTACAGGATTTGCTTAGACAATATTTTAAAACAGTTTTTTTAAATGAAAACTGGTATGTTTGAAATATTTTTTGAAAACAACATGCTCTTTCTTTCTCCTTCATTGAATCTGCCTTTGAACATTCAGTAGGTTGCAAACTTGAAGCATGTATTAGTTTGTTTTCTAGGCTGAAGAATGCAAGATCTCTTATCATTTCTAAAAGTAACGTAGTGGACATAAATTAAATTCTAAGCAATTTTTGCTTCTAATTTGTCAATATAGTGCAGATACACACGGACACACACACACACACACACACACACACATTGAGCATTTGCTTTTAGTGCATACTGCTGTTTATTCATATATTTATTTCATATAAATAAAAGAGAATCAGTTTGGAGTGTTAGTGAAGATCCAGACCTAGAAACCAAAAGACTGAATTCTAATCCTACCTCAGGCACAATAACCAGCTGGGTGGCTTTGGGCCGGTCATTTTCTCTCAGTCCAACTCAATTTCCAGATTTGTTGTTGTGGGGAAAATAGGAGGAAATAATATTATGTATGTTGACTGCCTTGTGTTACTTATAAAGTAATAAAGGTGAGATTTGAAAAAATCTAGTAAGTACAAGTGTCACTTATATGTAACATTCAGAATGGACATTAAAGGTTATGTGGTTAATTTGATCCAAGTATTCTTGGTCTAGCATGGTTTTTTTCAACATGCATGGCCATCTGAATACCTCTGGGTACTTTCAAATGTATTAAGGCAGCAGCTGTTTTCTTTTATGTATTCTCAGCAACTAGTACTAAGAAACTCTTTTATATCTCCTACAGTACTGTGCGTTCTCTAGCAAAGTGAATAGCGGAGCAGTTTGATTAAGTAATGTCACATAAAAAGATATGTGATGATAAATAAAGGGTAGTAGACATCTCTTATGGTTGCATGCTTTGTGATACAATCTAGAGTACCAATATTGGTCTTTTTCTGATACTTACACTTCTCTTGGATATGTTTAGACATGATCACTTTCCAGATGGTGTATTAGGCACTTAATGGACATGTTCTAGGCAGGTTGCCACAAGATGATTATTTATGGTTTTTAATTTATA